AGTAGGTTAGATAAATGTCTATCAGGGATGGTCTAGACAGTATTTGGTCCTGCCATGCGGGCAGGGGACTGGACTCGATGACCTCTCGAGGTCCCTTCCAGTCCTAGAATCTATGAATCTATGAATCTATGAATCTATACACTACAGAAATAAAGGGGAAAGGGTCAGATCCTGCAACGTATTGAGTGACCTTAATTCCCAGTGAGTTTGGTGGGAGTTGAGGGCTTGCAAACACCTCACAGGATTGTTTTGTATGTCTGTACTCATTAGTTCTGTGCTACTGCTTGCTTCAAGGAAATCTTCTCAAGATTATAAACATATAGCAATAAAACAAGACAGGTGCAATTACACAAAGGGAGATTTAGATTCAATATTAGGAAAAACTTGCTAACTAGAAGGATAGTTAAGGACTGAAACAGCTTAAAAAGGGAAGTTGTGGAATCTCTGTCATTGGCGGTTTTTGAGAACAGGTTAGGCAAATACCTGTCAGGGATGGTCTAGGTATACTTAATTGTGCTTCAGCATGGAGGAATGCATTAAATGACTTCTTGATGACTTTTGATCTCCCTTCGGGTCCTATGTTTATATGATTTTATAAACACTTTCAGAATGCACAATATTTAACCAAGTAAAGCCTTTCAATGTTTGTGACTAACTAAACTTAATCAGAAACAAGCTAATTAAAGAAACAAACAACCGGAACCACTAATAGACATTTGCCTCGGTATTTAATCATGAAACGTAGAATGTAGGGTCAGCAGGAGTAGGAACTGAAGGCTCATTCTATACATTCTGTTAGTTAAATCTGAAGATTGTAAAACAGATTCTGTGGTCTGGCCAACCTGGGCTATGCATGGATTTGGGTTATGGGAAAGAGTGACTAGGAAAAGTGGCTTGAAGATCAAATGTTCAGCCTTCATTTTTTTTTATAAGAAAGTTACCCTGCCAAATTATGCATACAGAAATTGTATAATTGTTTCTAGAAATGGATCCAGGAAGCTTCTTAGGCTCTGATCCTGCAACTGGTAGCGTTCAGATGGACTACGGCAGCTGTGCAGTCACAGTGGAGCCAATGGGGCTCTGTGTGAGTGCAGCCATCAACTGCAAGATCAGAACCTCACTGTGACCCTCAATCCCTGGGCCTGTATGGCAGAGGCCTGCCACATATTAGGTGTTTGGAACTTCGATGTTCTACACATAAGGAGTCTCATTTTTGGTGTTTATAATATTGTTCTCTTTGCGTTATTAGATTATCCAAAGAGCAGTAATTGAAGTGGATGAGAAAGGAACTGAAGCAGCAGCTGTTAGTGGGTCAGAAATTACTGCATACTCAATGCCTCCTATCATTAAAGTGAATCAGCCATTCCTCTTTATGATTTACGAAGAAACTTTCAAAACATTGCTGTTCATGGGCAGAGTGGTTAATCCTACAGAACTGTAAATGAAGACAATAGTTTCTAGTCTATCTCCAGTATATTCCAAGTTTTATTTTTATTTTCTTGAAACTATTACATTGCATTAGTTAGAACTGAAAACTTGCTAGGTATGAAAACAGATTCATTTCACATCTCAAATCATCAGCATGTCCTACTAAATTATTTTTGTTAATGCCCAAGCGGCAAGATTATCTAGTTGAGGCAATAATTGTGACAAAATAGAGACTTGTTCAAAAGCTTCATGTTATTTTATATATTTCCTAAACTACTCCTTCCGACAGCCATCTAACAGTAGGCTTAAGATTACCGATTGTATACTATAAGAATCAGTTCAAATATTTCACTCTGTGAGCTAAACTAGATATTTCTGTATATGTGCAAATTCAATAAAATGTTTGAGTTAAAAGATGCTAATTTCTGTTTAATTTTGTGTTTAATTCCCCATTGTATAACAGAGCCACCATTTTGCACTTTTCACATTCACAGAAAAAATAGTTTCTTACAGAAAAATCATCAAAATGTAAACAAAAAATGTAAAGTGTATTTTAAAAATGCTGACAATATTTACTTATGGTCCAATAGGCTATACTATCAACTCCAAAATAACGTCTTGTAGAGCTACCATCATTAAAAGTCTCAAAAGCACAAACCTGAAAGTCCCAAATTCAACATTTTAATGATAGAATTCAGATATATTTTATTTAGAGATAAGCCTGAACGGAAACCTTGGATCCAAACATCCCAAAACATTTAGAAAGTTCACATCCAAACACTGCAGTTTGGCCTACTTTCTAACAATATTCTCTACTGCAATGAGAAGAATTAAGGGCCTGCTCCCACTGTCATCAGTGGAAATTTTGCCATTTACATCACTGGGAGCAGAGTCAAATTTTAAGCATGGGCTCTATAGGCAACTGTTCTTGAGAATTTTATTTACTTCTGATTGTGGAGAAATAGCAAGCCTATAATTAAGGTCACATCAGGGTTTTCAGTTCAGTGAGCTTATTCAGTTTTATCAAATGCATCTTAGCTTCTCAGGGCACACGTACGTAGTCTAATAAAAGCACATTTAAACTGGCCTTTTTACAAATGATAAAATATTTCCAAAAGATAACTTCAACAACAGCTGGGAAAGCTGACTCTGAGTTTTATTTTGCACCACCAAAACTGAGTCCCTGCTGAAGTACATTGCCATATTGTATCACCTAGATACCATGGTAATGTGCACATTATAAATTGATTAACTAAAAGTTTTCTACATAACTACTAAACAAGGTAGATTGCTGCCTTTAGTAAGAGACAGCAAGCTTCAGTAAGGGAAAATAACTCCATTCACAGACTAGAGGCACTGAAATAGTGAAAGGAAAAAACATTTTAAAATGTGTATTTCTGAGGGCTCAATGCAAAACAAGAAGCCCAGTGATTTCAATGGGACTAGTCAAGGAAGAAAGGACAGCAGTATCTCGCCTTCAACTAGTACATTTTAATTATATTATTACACTCTACTTGTGTGTGTGTAGAGCCACATGTGGCTCTTTAGATTGCTTCATAGAGCTCTCATGAAGTTAACAGATCCAAGTGGAACTCTTCTTCTTCTTCTTCATGTGGTCTTCCGGAGAGCTGCCCGAAATACAGCTGAGGCGTTTCCAAGATTACTCAGCTACTGTGATGATGGGAGCCATAAAAGTACCTACACAGATGTAAACAGACAGATTCATCCACAGACAGGCAGGCAGACACAGACAGGTCGATACACAAGGCCAGGAAGAGGGGATGGTGAAGGGGAGAGACATAGAGGGAAAACACTATCTTCCTGCCAAAGAGCCAGCAATGTCGACGAAAGGAGAGAGGGAAGAACATAGCCAGTAGTCATGGAAAGCCACATAATAATCATGGCTCAACCATCTCCTGCAGGGCCTGCTTTAGGAAGTGCGGGGCCTGATTCGAATACCCGGCGGCGGTCTGGGTCTTCCTGCTGCCGAAATGCCGCCGAAGACCCGGAGTGAGTGAAGGACCCGCCGTCAAAGACCCAGACCGCCGCCAGGTGAGTAAAAATTAAAAAGGCGCCTAAGTTAGGCACTCTTCTTTAGGGCACGGGGCCCTCTTAGGCGCAGGCACAGGGCCCAATTCGGGGGAATCGGCCTAAAGCCGGCCTGATCTCCTGATATTGCTTTGTGAAGTTTGTGTTGTTGTTACCACTACTACAATGTTGATCAGAGTGGAAAACTCAGAACAGACTTTTCAAAAAGAATATGCAATTTACAAGAGTCTAACTCAGGCATCAGAACAAATACTGCAGACTTGAACCAATCAAAGTCAAAGAAATGTAGGGCTGGAATGGACCTCAACAAGTCATCAAGTCCAGCCCTGTGCACTGGGACAGAACCAAGTAAATCTGGACCATCCCTAACATGTGTTTGTCCAACATGTTCTTAAAATCTCCAGTGATGGGGATTCCACAACCTCACTTGGAAACCGATTCCGGTGCCTAACTACCCTTATAGTTAGAAAGTTTTCCTAATCTCTAACTAAATCTCCCTTGCTGCAGATTAAACCCATTGCTTCCTGTCCTACTTCAATGGACATGGAGAACAATTATCACAGTCCTCTTTATAACAGCCCTTAACATATTTGAGTTCACATCAGGTGCCCCCTCAGTCTTCTTTTCTCAAGACTAAATATGTCCACTTTTTTTAACCTTTCCTCACAGGTCAGGTTTTCTAAACCTTTTATTGTTTTTGTTGCTCTCCTCTGGACTCTCTCCAGTTTGTCCACATCTTTCCTAAAGTTTGGTGCCCACAACTGGACACAGGACTCCAGCTGACGCCTCACCATACTTTATGTCCACAGAGTCCAAACAATGCCAGTGAATTTAAAAAAAAAAAAAAAAACGTGACTAGGCTCACCAAAATTCAAATATACTATGAGGAGCTAATAAATCTAGACATTACACGACAACACATTGCAAGCTGCTAATGCACATCTTCACAGTAGAGCAATAAAACTGGCTTCAGTGTCATTTAAAATAAATAACTTCTATCGTTAAATGCTTTTATTTCTCTTCAATTATAAAATAAACATTGCAAAAAATAACTCTTTTTTCCAGAAACATGCAAGTACTGCATTATCCTAAGTTTTATTTTGAGTAAATTAATCATTCATTATTTCACATGGTAAAAACTAACCACACACACATGCATTCACAAATTAGATCATCTTTATCATACACCAATAGATTTAAAAAACAGATATTTTCTGATATCAATATAGTTATGCTGATTGCATTTTGAAATAGAGAAGCTGACAATAGCTTCATACAATATCTCTCAAGTATTGGCATAAATAGAACTTTTTAGATAGAACTGCATGTTTTTCACAGGCAAATTTTGATAGAAACATTAATACAAACAAATGTTGACAAAGCTAAAGCATGATAGCTTGGAATAACAGTTAATTAAAAACTAGATTCATCATTTTAAAATTATTAGGTAAAGAGAAAATACAATCTGAAATACTAAAAATTAAACAATGTATTTATACAACAAAATTGTCCTATGAAACAAAAGAAATAATTCTGATATTGTTTGGAGGTATTTGCTCTTAACATTTTTGGAAAACTTGTAAAGGATTTGTATAAACTTGAGTTAGTACTTGTAGTGATACCACATCCCAATTCACAGCACAATCTTATTTCAGTTTATGCTTCAAAACAGCTTCTTAGTGGTACTTCTGGATTTTCGTTTAAATTGAGTTTGAAGAGTCTTTAAAAGGTGAAATTAATTTCTCAGTTAATCCCATATACAGAACAATTTCAGCTATTTTTTTCTTCCATAACAAATGGATGTTAGGAACTGCTAAAACCCTAAATAAGTACATTTAAATAGGACACTTGCATCCTAAATCCAAGAATCTGAACTACAAAGGCATAATTGAAGAACAAAAACCTTATCTCTTTAGCTGCAGCAGTTAAAGCACATAGCTAAAGTTACATTTCATTAACACTTCACTACAACATTGGAATTCTGCAACCATTACATTATTTATATGGAGTTATTTTACAACTTAGGAATTTGCTTAAAAGATAGGTTTTAACATTGCAAGATGCACTAAGTCTCTCCTGTCCAGTCATCAGATTCCCCAGCTGTAGCTCCAACCTTTGTTATCACAAAATCACTTTGCCTCCAGCAGTCTTTGGTGTGCTTCCTTTTCTGTCAGATGATCTAAGAGTTTGATTTTCTGTTTTTTCTTTATACAAAAGAAGAAACATATGTAAAAATTATTGTTGATATATTCAAGCATTCCGTAATATCTTCATACTAAAGTGCCATTATATGACGCATATCTGATAAGCAGGAGCTACTTGGAAACACACGTTACAAAAAAAAAAGTCAATTCACTCATAATTTAGGATATATTTCATAGTGAGGGGGTACTTTTTAAGTAAGTCTGCTCCAGAACGCTTAAGTTAGGTTGGTAAAATTTGTAACACACCTAGGGAATGATATAGCTAGTGGTTAAAGGTCTCCTGGGTTTTATTTCTGGTTCTGCCACTGATTTCAACATGTGAATTGGGCAAGTCACAACTTATCATTTCCTTTGCTTACCCATCTATAAAATACTACTTGCCAACTTCATAAAAGTGTTGTGAGGCTCAATTCATCAATACATGTAAATCATAGAGACCTTTGGAAGAGCAACACTTAATTTCAGAGCTCTGTGCAAACACTGGTTCTTGGTACCCCATCATATCAAAAGGCATTTCTCTCTATCAAAGATATATTTAGGATATTCTAATATATAGACATCAAAATATTCATTTACCCCATTTTATAAGAGGGGAAACAGGGCCCAAACCAACTCCGATTGCCATTGATTTTAATACTGCCATTAACTATAAATGGGAGTAGGATAACATTGATTAGAAAGTTATGTTACCTGCTCAAGGCCATACAGAAAGTCAGGGTATGTCTACACCCAGCCGCTAGTTCGGCGGCTGGGAATCGAAGTTCTGGGTTCGACTTATCGCGTCTTGTCTGGACGCGATAAGTCGAACCAGGAAGTGCTCGCCGTCAACTGCAGTACTCCAGCTAGACGAAAGGAGTACCGCGGAGTCGACGGGGGAGCCTGCCTGCCGCGTGTGGACCGAGGTAAGTTCGAACTAAGGTACTTCGAACTTCAGCTACGTTATTCACGTAGCTGAAGTTGCGTACCTTAGTTCGATTTGGGGGTTTAGTGTAGACCAAGCCCTAGTGGCAGAAAGAGGGCAGAAGTCAGGAGCTCCTGACTCCCAGCCTTGTGCTCAACCCACTAAACAGGATGATAGATGCTATATCAAGTTATGTATGCAAACCAATATTATTGTGGGTTCATACACCAATATCTATGGCCTGAAAACTGGTTACTGAGATTTTGGTGAAATCCAGGCCCCCTTGACATCAATGAGAGCTTTGCTATTGATTTCAATGGGCAAGGATTTCACCCCTGCTCTTTAGGAGCCTGATTCTAAACCACTGAGTGAAAAATTCTCATTATCTGTATGCACATGTACTACAGTAAAACAGATTTCTTAAATTGTCTCTCTGTCAGGCCAACATTTTTATTGAATCATCTATAGAGCACAGACAGATATTTACTTTCTTTCCTGTATTTGAAGCAGTTACCATGTTATAATAAAGTAAGGAAAATGCTTATGCTAAAAGAAAATTTATAAAATCTTCAAAAATGAGGGAATACACATATGAAAACAATAAAACTAATCATCATAATAGTATACGATTGGATTCTTATACCATTCCTAACATTTATGATTCAAGTCAATATCTATTCTAGGATGACTCATAATCTAATATTGTCTATTCGCTAGTAACAATCAGATCTACACATGCTTTTCTCTGAAAATTGACTTAAGAGAGGTCTCTTGTGGGCTGAAGCATTTAATTGATGTTCTTTGGGATTCTTCCACACTCCAAAATATACTTAAATTCAGAGCCTCATATCTTCAGTGATTAAGACATCATAGATACAAAAGGAGGCATCTTTAGCACAATTCTCAACTCATGTAATTTCTACTGCCTGAAAACTACATAAGGGCCCAATCAAATCACACTATAGTCAATGGGTGTCTTTCTACTAACTACTGTGAGAACTGGATAAGGATTTAATTAGATTAATTTAAGATGTATAAATTATTCCAAGAATGAGATGGATCATTTTTCTCTATGTTCATCTCTGATGTGGGCCCAAGAGGGAACTGAGCTCCAACATAAGTTTATAAACTTTGCTAATGTAAAGATTCCAATGCAAAATTCTGCACCCAAGTACCTCTTGTGGATATTAGAAAGTCCCTTGAAGATTGTGGCTCCATTTACAAATCATAAAAATGATTCACTCATATTTTTGGTCATGCTACCAGTGAACTTCTATTCATTTGCCTCAGAGAGGTTTGTGAAACAATTAAATATAGGTAATTATATAATAATTGATCGAAACAACATGTTAATTTAAAATGAAAAATAAATTAAACAGAAGCATACCCAGTTGTGATTTTTATCTTTAATCTATAGAGACCTTGATCCTTCAGTTACATATATACACAAACATAAAAACAGAGACGTAATTACACACAAAAACTATGCGACCAGAACATTATTAATGTTGCAAAGTCAACCACTCAAAAGTTGGGCATGCTTGTGTATATATATTGAGAGAAAATCTGATTACTTGATCATATACTATTTTTTCCAATGTGTGACCTCATGCCTTCATTACTGCACACTATTCAAACCCTGCTCTGAAGACTGAACTATTAATTTCCTCATGAGATTTGCTATGGCACTCTTCACTATAATATCTGAATGCTTCACAAACATTAACTGATTTATCTTCACAACCCCTCTTTGAGAGGAGAGAGTATTGTTTTCCTCATTTTACAGATGGGGCGCAGAGAGATTAAGGTAAAAAGTATCCACTAATTTTGGATGCCCAAGTTGAGACATCTAGGACCTGATTTTTTCAGAGCACTTACCATTACATAGCACTTTCTATGTTCAAAACATTGATTTCAGTTGCAGCAGTGAGTACACAGCACTTCGTCAAATCAGACCCCAAAGGGTATGTCTACACTGCAATAAGACACCCACAGCTGGCTGTGCTAGCTGACTCGGGCTTGTGGGAGGGGCTGTTTAATTGCAGCATAAACATTCTGGCTCAGGCCTGAGCTCTAGGACCTTCCCATCTCGCAGGGTCCTAGACCCCAGGCATCAGCCTGAGCCCAGATGTCTACACTGCAATTAAACAGCCCCGCAGCTAGAGCCTCGTGAGCCTAAGTCAGCTGGCACAGGCGAGCCGTGGGTTATTAATTACAGTGTAGACATACCAATAGTCTCAAGTCAGGCACCCAGAAAATGAGGAACACGTAATTAGTGTCTATCTGTGAAAAGTGTGGTTGAAGAGACTTGCCTGGCATCACACAGGAACTCTGTGGCAGAGGCGGGGATAGAATACAGTTTTCCAGTGCCTTAACTGTGAGACCCACTCCCTTCTCTTCCTGCAGTCCCCCTGCCTTATTTATAAAACCTTCCAGCTTGTGCAACAAATGACGTTAGGGTCCTATAAACAGCCTCCTTCACTGCACAAACCTGATTTACTCCCAGGGACAAGCAACCTTGATTCTGTCACTTCCTAATCTTTTCAGTCCTTCACCTGCAACCTGAATAATGTTTTGAACATAGTTTTGTTTTTGTAATTTCCTAGGTTTAAAAAAAAAACCCTGAAAAAACAGAAATTTCATCATGTGGCATCATGCTGATACCCATATGGGTCATCAGCAGACTTGCTCTTAGCTCAGGTGACCATACCCAGACCTATCATGGCCCATAGCACCCCAGAACTGCAACTGCAAGGAAATGTTCTGCTCAGTCTTGGGCTAGAGCATGCCAAATGTGGATGGAATCTTTGAGACATTTAGTTGCTTGTGCAAATTATAATTTTTCAAAGGCTTGTAACTTGGCCAAATTTGAGCAGATTTTCACAGGCAAGGAAAAAGGCACATCTCTGACACAAAGACCATGCCCCTTGTCCAATGTCAAGCCCCTGCTCCAACGCATAGGAGCATTAGGGTGTCAAAGAAAAAGGTGGCCAGAATTTTTTAACATGGACAAAACAATATATCTTCCTCTAATCTCTTTCTCTGAAACAGCTGAACTATTCTGGCTGAAATTAAAATCAGCCTGAGGCACACAGCTAGCATGGAAAATTTTAAGCCAAACAATTAGTCTAGCAAAGTTGTAAGAAACTGAAATCAGGGTTTTATAATGCGAAGTGTCAGAAAACCTTAATAATAGGTGTTTCTGCTAGCTCCACCTATAATAAACAAAACACTTCACTGTGAAGCTGATAGGGTGAGTTGCTACACACACAGATCATATTTAAGAAGCTTAACTTAACAGCTAGTATTGTAAACGTTTGGTGTAGCAGTTGGTTGTGTTGGAAGAGGAGGCAGAATAAATGTCAGTTTTTGTTGCGTGCTAATTGTGGTAATGATAGTGTGTGTTCTTGTGGATGGAGGAGTAGAGGGTATATACTATTAGCTGGCCTTCCTTTTCTTTCATTTCTGTGAATTTGTAGAAATATGTCAAATATAGCAATCCAAAAACTGCTTCACAATGAAGGGTTTTTTTGTATGCATACACAAAAGTATGAACCATATAATACCACTTCCAATTAAGAAGATCATTATAATTTCAGGTAACGAAATGACTAGATAAGTCATTTTGTATTTGTAAACTCGAATGAAGACCTCTGAACTAGCAACACATATTTACACATAGCCAATATACAAGGGAATACTGATCAACACACTACTCCCAAAAACAGATAGACACATTGGAAAGACACATTTAAGGAACAGTATGAAAAGACTTGTTCAAAGGGGCAAAATATAGTCTTAAAAATGCTTTTGAGAACCCCAAATCTGGGAATGGAAAATTGCATGCAACAGATATGGACACACACAAAAATAAACCCTGCAATTTTACAGGCTGTTCTGAGTTCCATTTGTAAATAGCTCCCTTAAGGTGCTCATAACTATAATCAATCACTTACAAGCTCATCTTTCGTGAATGACTGTCTTTAGTCCCATTGTTCTTTTGGTCAACTGAGTTAGCTGTATTACGGGAGGAAGTTGCTAGGGGGGCAGTGGAAGAAAAGACAGCATTCCCACTAATATTGGTGGAACGAGTCCGGAATGAATCATCTGAAAGAAAGCAGTAGACAATTATACAGGGAATCAAGTCTGAATGAAACACAGTGACAACACATCTATCAGTAGGCTGAACAGGTGAACAGCATAAAATTGTCCTGTTTACAAAAAAACTTCGCTAATTTAAAGATTTTTACTAAAAAGTTAATTGTGTGACGAAGTACTGAAAAATAGCTGATAATTTATAGACTTTTTGAGAAGGTCTACAGAAAATGAATCAATTTTAATATATGAAATGTCTCAGATATTATATATGTCTTATAGGCAGCTTTTTAAAACTGGGTCTCCCTTTCTACATACAAAATTTGTGAATGCAAATAATTGCAAGCACAATTTATGCCATCTAGAGGTCTAATTTCTATTTTTAAAAACACCAGTCAGGGATGTCCAAATGCATGTCTAAGTGTCTACTACTTAAAAAAAATTGTTTTTGGAAAAATGTGCAACACGGAAAAGCAACTAAAAATGAAAAAAGTATATTAAGAATTGGTCAATGCATAAATATAAACATATTTCTCTATTTACTGAGTACTAGGCTGTCTTTTCCATAGGATCCCATCTCTAAATGCTTGCAAATCACTAATCAACAAACGTATATAAAAAAAATTAAAAATTCTAAAAGTACAGCATTAACGGTTTTGGAGAATGAAATCCTCTTGTTTAGACCATGTTCAGGATATAGAGTAGCAGTGCAAGATCACTGTCTTTGTTTAGTCCAGCCTCGAAAAAGCAACACATCCTCTTATTGTCTTTGCATGCAAAAATCCTAAAGTGGAATCAGAACCTAGGAACACCGCAGAAGAGCATATTTGAAAATGGTTATTAAATGAATTGGTGCTTAACAAAATGATTTTATTAGCATTTTGGACAGGATGGAGTCAAGCTCCTCTAGGGGCATGGAGGAAAAGTCAGAACTTATTACTTCTAATTAAATTTCAAAGGATCTCAGTGAAAATGGGCAACACAGGTGCCTTCTGAGGAACAAGGTGATCAAATCAAGGAAGAGCATTTGGGTCAATATGAACCATCTTTATTTGGTATTTTTAAACTGTCCAATTAAAATGACTATCAGAGGGAAATCAGTCAGATTTATGCCTGTTTGACTAGTAAGGGGTATTGGAGCAGGCTTAGCTATATCTGACATAACATTTGCAACAGGCAATTCTACCTAGACAGAATTCCAGTGCTGCCAACTCTGAGGATTTTATCTCAAGTGTCACCATTTGGATTTTTTAAAAAGCAGCCAACAGCTGGAATCATGTTATTACTTGATAATCTCATATTTGAATTAAAAATTGAAGTTTAGAGCCAATGTGGCTGCAGAGAAAAGCTTGACAACATTAACCTAAAGTTTCCAACACCAGAAGACAAATAAAAAGAACTCTACATTTATCATTTTTAATTCTTATGATTTTTTTTTTATGGTCTGACTCATGATTTTTGAATGCTTGGGGTTGGCAATTCTGGAATTCCTTCTGCAAGAGTTCTGCAAACCTATATTCAGAGAGTAAAATGAAGCAGGTTTAGTATATAGATGTCTCAAATCTTATGTGCCATCGACATTTTTAAACAGTCTAATGTTAACTACACTTAGGTGAACCATTTTTTATTGTATAGCTTTTGTACTGTATAAGCATTTGCCATTGGAAATATCTGTAACTACTATTTTAAAAGATCTTTGGTTTGACCACAATATGACTCAAATTAATGCTTGTCCACTTGTCCATAGCCAGAGTGAAATTTAGACTTAATGTAGTAATGATCTTTAAAGATCATTCCATAGCTGGAAACTAAACAAATGAAACTATGCAATCTAAAATAAAAAAGAGATATTTCAAATAATAGAAAACTAATCTTTCCTGGGATTAACCTTGTTAACCATCATTTCTTGTTTTCCCTAGTCCACCAACTATGCAGCTCTCCATCACTGGCTTGTCTACTTCTCTAACCAGTCACTTTGCGCTTTATCTTATGCTGCCCTTTATGCCTGGAACACACTTCCAGAATTAATTTGTAAAGACCCTATAAAATTTTACTTCAAATTCTTCCGAAGTCTCATTTGGGACTACAACAGAACACCAAACTGATAATGGCTAGGGAGGTGGCCAGTAGGGATTATCAATTTTTTTTTTGACTTGCAACCTGATAGTTATCAGATGGCTAGTTTACGTAACCAGGTGTTGCTATCAATGTTCCACTCCTGCTCTTTTCCTTTTGTCAATTACAGTCCTATTGTTTTAAAGCAGAAAGTCTCTCTTTTAGTAGGTGTTGATACAGTACCTAGTACAATGGAGCCCTGATCTTCTCCAGGGCCTTTAGGAGCTACTTTGATACATATAACAACAACAACACTTACCACTAAATGGTAGCATAGAACCCTTTCCCACTCCTGGTATAGAAGAAGTATATCCTGTTGCAGAACTTTTACTAGAAAAATAATTAGGTGATAAATTACCTATTGCACATTAAACTAAGTAAGTCACAAGCAGTGTTTCTGGGTCTTCAAATGTTTGCCATTTATAAGTCCAGATTTGTATTAAAATGGTATTTTTTCACCCAAATACAAAAAATTCACACCCTTCCCAATTATAAGAAACTGCTGATTTAGGCCATTATTTAACAAGGTACTTAGGCATCAGTGGTGCAAGTAGAAATCATTTCTTGCCAGTATGCTGCACTCATGGGAGGGACACCAAGGGGGGGGGGGCATGTGACCACCTCATGTGCCCCCCCATGTGACTCCTCCCCACCCCCATCCCAGGGCCCCCTTGCTCTCACCGTCCCCTCCTCATGATCCACGTTCATCCCACATTATCTGGGGGGGGGACTCCGTCCTCCTCCCGCTGCACTGGAGACTTTTTCTGTACAGACCCCAGGCAGGAGGACTCAGGAGACGCAGCTGCATGGAAGGGCTGGGGGCAGTACAGCTGCGCTGGAGGAGCTGCCAGCATGGGGCTGCTCGGCAGCCCCACATTCTGCTCCTTTCGCTGCTGTGGTTCTCGGGAAATCAGGGCTCTCCGGAGCCGCAGTGGTGAAAGGCAGAAGAAAATGGGGCCGCCTGGGGCCCCATGCTGACAGCTCCTCCAGCGCGGCTGCTGTACCACCCTGAACACTGCCCTCAGCGGTTTTACGCAGCCATGTCTCCGGAGTCCTCCTGCCTGGGGTCTGTGCAGCAGCCCCGCCAGAGGACAGGGCTGGGGGGCACGGGCAAGGCTGGAGATGGTAAGGCTGTGCCAGAGGAGCTGTCAGTGTGGGGCCGCGCAGTGGCCCCATGTTCTGCTCCTTTCACCACTGCGGTTCCCGGGATAGCCCTGAAGCTCAGTGCTCTCCCGGGAACCGCACCAGCGGCCCCACACCAGCAGCTTCTCTGATGTGGCTACTGTACTGCCCCAGCCCCGCCCCCTCCCCCAGTCCTGTCCTCCGGTGGGGCTGCTGTATAGATCCCAGGCAGGAGGACTCAGGAGACGCAGCTGCATAGAAGGGCTGGGGGTGGGCTACTCCTGTGTGTTTCCGGTATGCCACACCAGCTATAAATATCTTACTGGTATGGTGTACCGGACTGTACTACTGTACTTGCACCACTGTTAGGCACGCACCTAACATTAAGCACATGAGCAGTCCTACTGACTCGTGCTTAAAGTTAGGCATGCACTAAAGAATACTGCTGACCTAGTGCCTTAAGCATTTACTACATCTGTACAGAAGTCTGGCATGTTGTCCATGTAGGGGTATGGCACAATAAAAGGAATAAGGGTGTCTGCATAAGGTGGATAACAATTGCTGCAAAAAGAGTATTCATTGTGCCATTGTCCTGGATGGAAATAGCCAGATGGAAAATATATCCTGAAGTGTTTTGCAAATGAGAGCACAACATAGGAAAAGTGGTGTGATTTGGCCAAAAGCAGGTATGCTATAGGTACAAACCAGTATTAGGTGATAATGGATAATATACCCCATAGGTTATTCAGAGTTCTGAGATGGGACAGGTTATGTCCTGCTTTGCATAACTACAAGATGGTTTAGGGTGTTACACCTTAGAATTCAGGAGTACATTTTGGGGTGTATATTCTCCATGTTTTGGAGAATACATATATATTTCTATAAGGGGTAGCCAGAATTTGACCTTAAGAGTGGAATCCATTCCAAGAAAACATACTTAGAACACTTGTCTATGTTGCCATATTTTGGATGCAGTGCTTGAGTACTGAAAGACTGGCTTCGAACCAACTTAGATTTCTTCCCTTCTTTGCCTGAAACAAATAAGCAGCAAATACATTTAAAGTGCAGAAATTATTGCAATTTGTCTTTTATCAGTAGTAAGAATTTACATTACATTACTTTTTCTCAGTCTAAGCTAATTAAAGGAGCTGGAAGATAATATAGCAATAAATCTCATTTATATCACCCATCATAAACTACTAAACAACAATCAAGAAAATATTTAAGTGTAAAAAGACCACGTGTTCTCTAACTGCAATGCTTTCTTATGTGCACAACAGGTGAAAGGCTGGCCCCAGGGGAATCAATGGTATCTTTGTCTGTTTTCAAACTTACACAGGAGAGATACAAGTATCCTAGAAAATTTTTAAAGAGTTGTTTCTTACTTGTTGATGCACTTGAAGAGCTTCCAGAAACAGAAAGAGATATACTTTTTGACAAAGTTGATGATGTTTTACTGTCTCTACCTAAAACAAAGTTTATCGTAAATACTGCACTCTGATAAATAGCCTTACTTTACATAAAGATGTAAAATATTATATATAACTCTGGTATGATGCTGGGTGAAATAGTAATAATACTATAATAGTATGATAGTGGCACCTTAGAAATAAAAGGCAGACAGACAATTATACTACTACCTTCTTAGCAGAAAACATGGTATTGGACATGTATTTTATTAATGAAAATCAATACTATGCTATGTAACACACCAAAACCATTTTTTATAAATCACCCTTTTTTAAGAAAAGCATGACAAAACAACAAGAGTTCGTTACTAAGTTAAACACCCACCATCATGTTTCCTAAAACAATACTATATTAACTTCATTTACCAAGAATCACCCCTCTAAAATAAAAACAAGAACCCACAAAAACAAAAAACTTACGCTTCTTTTCGAATATTTTATCACTGATACTGGTAGACCTTCCCTCATTCTGCTGCTTCTCTTTTTCTAATTGTTCCTATTATGGAAACAATTTCATAAGAATGAGAATTTACACTCCACACAGGTTGAAGACCTCCTGTAAATGAGCATGCTCCCAACCCACCAACCTACAAATTAATTTCTTCTCTCAATTATTTGAACATAGTCCCCCTCTATCAATAACACTGTCATGTGTTCACTAATGAATATCGGCTGGAACCCAGTAAAAACTCTGAATGATCTAGTGTGCTTTTACTGTAGTAGAGATCATAACAAAAGAGTAGGGTAACACAACGTAAAGTTGACTCAGGAAATTTGATCTTAATGTTTCCCTCCATGAAAAATGGTAATTAATTTATGCTCAGTATGTTGGTTTTGACAATGTATTGTCTTCTTTTAAAAACACATTTCTTGAAACAAAACAAAAACAAACAAAACAAAATAATTCCTCATACATGACTTTGCACAAGCTAAGTGCGACGCTTTAAAGTATACCTGCTTTTGAATTAACCAAGCAGAGGAAGGGCTCTGAAAAATTTCTTAACAGATGAAAATTACTATTTATTCAGATTCTTACAACTCAAAAGCTTCTTGATTTTTATTAAACTATCTCAAAAAGATGCTTGTAGGCCGAGATCAAGCAAGAGAAATGTTAGCCAGAAAGATGAGAAGCTGTAACACAGAAATTGGGTGTTTAAAATGGAAATGCTGTATCTATTGTGCAATGTGGCTACTATGATTCTAGACTACATATGGAATTTAAAGGTCTGGCTAATGAACAGCATGAAGATACAAAATCAACATAGATGGACAATATTTAAATCCAAACTGATATAACCAATGTATTTTTTCAAGCTTTATGCTTTCTCTAAAATTAGCATCTACAGTATTTACTGGAGTTAATAAGCCTCTATTGAAAACAAGGTATTTGAACCAAATATAATAATTTCTCATATTTTACTAAACTCATTTTCACATCTGTACTATTAGCTAGTTTTATAACAGATAGTACACATAATTATAGATCTATGCATGAAATATCATTTCAGTCAAATTATTTCTAGTAACTTCTTCAGTGTGCTTGGTGCTTTCCAAACAGAGTAAGCATGATCCCTCCCCCTCCAAGCTACGTAACATTATCTTTGCTTTCCTGTACCACATCTCATAATACACACACCAACTGAACCTAGAAAGGACTATTTTTTTCTTTGATTTAGAGTTCTAGTTACTATCCACACAAAAAAACTTCATTAAATCATGGTCAAGATTGTTCAAGTGTAGTTCCAATTAACTAAATAATTGAAATCAAGAAAATCACCAATTTATGCACCATTAACAACCAGATTAGTTCATACTGACCAGATGTATTCACACTCCTCATGCAACCACACACCGAACACATCAAGTTCCTCAAAACCATGCTCGAACACACAACTTAATTCCAGCCTCAGTGAGACTGAGACATTTCACCATCATCTCATATTTTTACTATACTAATGTAGAATGTGTTACTTCTAACTAAAATGTTCTGAGGCTGGAGTTAAGCTTGAGCAATTGGATACATGCAATGCCTTTGAGGGGAGTGTGAGGCTCTGGCTTGGGGCCAGTTGGAGGTGCCGGGATATGCCTGCGGTGGGAATATGGGACTGCCGAGGTGTGTTTCAGGTAAGACACTACAGTACTCTGGCAGGGGACAACCAGGAGGTGTGGGAGTCTCAGTGGGGAGAGGTGCATTAGGGACGCGGGTGAGGACATACAAGTGTGGGGTTGTGGCAGTAGAGGGTATGGGGCTCCGACAGAGGTAGGTGTGGTCAGGAGCATGCAGCATAGCTCCACCAGGCCCAGGCCAAGCTAACATGAGCATGCTATAAAGGGGAAGCATGATAGGGAAGCTCGGGGAGTCTGAATTAGTCCCAATCCACAAGCACCTGTGCCCAAGCCAGCTCCTACTTCCCTGTTCCAAATGCAAGAAATCTGGGTAGAGGTGGGCACTGGGACTGAACTGAGTATAGAACTGCAAAGCAGGGGTGGGAAGTCAGCTCAGAAATTAGTCGGATAAGCCCCTTAGGCATTCCTGCCCAGGCACTCATCCAATCTCACCCCTTGACTGAGCTCACAAGACAGCCTTGCTACCTAGATCTGGCTGGAGCTTGAGATCAGCAGAGGAAGTTGAGCAGGGCAGAGAGGCTGCCTAAGGTGTTGGTGAATGGAGCTTGAGCTGGGGATGCCAGTGCCCAGCACAAGAGGCTCAGTGGTGTCTGCAGAGAACAAAGAAGGTCAGGTATGAGGGCTCTGTAGCAGTGTTGGAAGGACAAGGTAGTATTTCCAGGTCAGTGTTGAACCTGTGATGGCTCGTTTGAGAGGAGTCCTGCCACTGTGAACAAGAGGTGGTGTGCTAAAGCAGGCAATCCTCCTCCAAAACCTATCAGGCCCTCAGCTCTCACACACCAGACAGGTCAGGGAGCAACTGGCACCTGCCTACATTGCAATTAAAAACCCATGGCTTACCCAGGCCAGCTAACTCAGGCTTGCAGGGCTCAGGTTAAGGGCCTGTTGAAATTGCAGTGTAGGCTTCCGTGCTTGGGCTGGAGCCAGGGCACTATGACCCTGTGAGGTGGAAGGATCCAAAAGCTTGGGCTGCAGCTTGAGTCCAAACATCTACACTGAAGTGACACAGGCCTGCAGCCTGAGCCCCACGGGTCAGCTGTGGGTTTTTATTTGCAGTATAGGCATACGGAGAGCTGACTGGCTGGAGTGTGAGCATCCAGGGATATGGTAGACTACCCGGGGGAGTGCCAGCTGCAGAGTTCTGCCAGGTTTACAGCTCCAGTGAACCACAGTAGATTCAGAAGCCAGAGCGGCAGGGAAGCAATAGCATTTATCTGCCTTCTTTTCCAACACTGAGTGGCTCCTGAGTGCCTCCTAGCCCCTTGTGCTCCATGCAACCCACACTGAGCCTCCCCCCTGCCGGGCTGCAGCTGTCACTGGCTCCAACCCCTTCTTTCTTATTAAGAAAGCCTACAGCAGATACACAGCCTCCTTTGGCTTTCTTGGCACACAAGAAAAGTTATGACATTAGCTTTTTTGCATACTGAAGCTGAGTGCGAATTTTGAAGTATTTAGATCATTACATTACAAAAGTCTGCCAAAACATGAGGCTCCCTTGGAAAATTTCATAAAGGAGTGTTGTTAAAGTGCTTAACATTTTTTAAGCTACAGGGCTTTCAAGTGTGAAATTTCTCCAAAAATTCAGTCTCCTAACTGACATTGTGTAATATAGGTAATAGAGGGAGGTTTATGTTGTTTTTAGGGATTTAACCCTACTTTACAATTGAAAAGGAAACTATGTAGACCCCAGTGCACCTCCATAATACAGACTTCACTACACCCATACCCTGGAGTCACCTTCCCACAGCATACATTAATATTTAGCTTTAAGTATGAAACTATGGCTGGCATATTATATTAAAAAACATACCATTTCCAACAGGAGCTGTTCTTCTCTTTCTTTCTCTTGATCCAACAAATCATTTTCATAAAACCTTTTCTGAAACTGATTAAAGTTTAAAATAAAACAAAACAGTAATAGAAATAACAATATATCATGCCATACATTTTTAACTCTCACTTGCAAGTGTAAAAGTTGGAAGGCACTTACAGCATCCACAGAGATTTCCATTCTGTCCAATTCTAACACCGTCTATAAAAAAAGAAGTTAAAATAATATTTTTACCCTAAGCTGTCCAATAACTCCAAGAACATGCTAAATTTTAGCTTAAAGGGAAACTTGTCATGGTAGAAAAGTTTAAAATACTGACATTCAATACCTTCATAGAATCATAGAAGATTAGGGTTGGAAGAGACCTCAGGAAGTCATCTAGTCCAACCCTCTGCTCAAAGCAGGACCAACCCCAGTTCAATCATCCCAGCCAGGGCTTTGTCATGCCTGGCCTTAAAAACCTCTAAGGATGGAAATTCCACCACCTCCCTAGGTAACCCATTCCAGTGCTTCACCACCCTCCTAGTGAAATAATTTTTCCTAATATCCAACCTAGACCTCCCCCACTGCAACCTGAAACCATTTCTCCTTGTTCTGTCATCTGCCACCACTGAGAACAACCTAGCTCCATCCTCTTTGGAACCCCCCTTCAGGTAGTTGAAGGCTGCTAACAAATCCCCCCTCACTCTTCTCTTCTGCAGATTAAATAAGACCAGTTCCCTCAGCCTCTCTTCACAAGTCATGTGCACCAGCCCCCTAATAATTTTCGTTGCCCTCCGCTGGACTCTCTCCAATTTGTCTACATCCTTTCTGTAGTGGGGGGACCAAAACTGAATGCAATACTCCAGATGTGGCCTCACCAGTGCCAAATAGAGGGGAATAATCACTTCCCTCGGTCTGCTGGCAATGCTCCTACTAATGCAGCCAATATGTTGTTAGCCTTCTTGGCAACCCTATCCCTACCCTCCAGCATATCTACCTCTCCCCACAGCTTAGTGTCATCTGCGAACTTGCTGAAGGTGCAATCCATCCCACCATCCAGATCATTAATGAAGATGTTGAACAAAACTGGCCCCAGGACAGACCCCTGGGGCACGCCGCTTTATACTTGCTGCCAACTATACATCGAGCCGTTGATCACTACCCAACAATCTAGCCAGCTGTCTATCCACCTTATAGTCATTTCATTCAATGAATACTTTTTTAACTTGCTGGCAAGAATACTATGGGAGACTGTATCAAAAGCTTTGCTAAAGTCAAAGTATATCATGTCCACCACTTTCCCCATATCCACAGAGCCAGTTATCTCATCATAAAAGGCAATCAGGTTGGTCAGGCATGACTTGCCCTTGGTGAATCGATGCTGACTGTTCCTGATCACCTTCCTCTCCTCCAAGTGCTTCAAAATGGATTCCTTGAGGACCTGCTCCATGATTTTTCCAGGGACTGAGGTGAGGCTGACTGGTCTGTAGTTCCCCGGATTCTCCTTCTTCCCTTTTTTAAAGATGGGCACTATATTTGCCTTTTTCCAAACATCCAGGGCCTCCCCAAATCGCCACAAGTTTTCAAAGATAATGGCCAATGGCTCTGCGATCACATCAGCCAACTCCCTCAGCACCCTCAGATGCATTAGACCTGGGCCCACGGACTTGTGCATGTCTAGCTTTTCTAAATAGTCCTTAACCTGTTCTTTCACCACTGAGGGCTGCTCACCTCCTCCCCATACTGTGCTGCCCAGTGCAGCAGTCTGGGAGCTGACCTTGTCTGTGAAGACCGAGGCAAAAAAAGCATTGACTACTTCAGCTTTTTCCACATCATCTGTCACTAGGTTGCCTCGCCCATTCAGTAAGGGTCCCACATTTTCCCTGACCTCCTTCTTGTTGCTAACATACCTTAATAGGGGTCCCATTTGTAAGGATTTTTTTAAAACTGAAGAAACATTATTGTATTGTTGAGAACATAAGAATGACCATACTGGGTCAGACCAATGGTCTGTATCCTATATCCTGTCTTTTGACAGTGTCCTGTGCCAGACACTTCAGAGGAAATGAACAGAACGAGGCAAATATTGAGTGATCCATCCCCTGTCATTCAGTCCCAGCTTCTGGGAGTTACATGTTTAGGGAAACCCAGAGCATGGATTTGTGTGCCTAACCATCTTGACTAATAGCCAAGTTGATGGACCCATAGTTGATGTAAGCATCCTCCATGAGCTTATATAACAACCCATCTGCTGAGAAGTTAATGCTGCAATCAGAAAATACTCATAGAGGTCTGTTTTCTCACCAAATCCCACTCTGATTCACAAAGGAAGGGCTAAATTGTGCCATTTATATATGATCTAAAGTTAGCTACACTGTGCTAAAGTGAGGGCATGAGAGTAATGCAGACACTGTCAATATCTCTTGGGGCTCCCCTGTTAAACTAGGAGTGGGGGAGAGGTAGAGTAATTTGTGATGACCCCCAGCCTTTTATGGGATGTAGCATACTCATTCTGCTGGCTGACGTATATGAGGAGGCAAAGCTATATTTAATCTATACCCCGCCCACACACTCTTAGGGGGAAACAGCTGGCATGCATCCATAAAGACTGCAATCCAGGTAGTCCTAAACTGGCTGCACTGGGAGAAGAGGCCATTTTTACTTCCCACCTCTTTCCTGAGTGGCTGTGTTGGGAATAAGTACAATCTAGCACTAAGAAAATGCATCTTGTCACTAAAGAATAGAAACAATTGCAAAACATTTATACTTCAAGGATTCTTGGTTATTTTTACCAATGTGAACCTTTCTTCCCATACCTGTATTCATACTGCTACCCTTGGAGCAGGCTGAGACAATCACTAAACAAGAAAGCCTGACTCACAGTGTCAAGCAGTTAACTGTATTTTAAGAAACCAAGAAAATATCTCCTTGTCTTAAATTCAGCAGAATATAATATCTTTCAATCTGACATTTTCTCTGATTCCAATTGTTCAAACTGACAAAAAGGATAACAGAGTCCTTGACCTCCTATCCCAACCTCAAGAGCAAAGACTGAAGCCAGGATATCAATAGTCTTAATTTACAGTGACAGCTGCAACATAAAATGTTCCTTGATTAGAAAAATACTTACTCGTTTTACAATAGTCAAGACATCTTTATCTTTTTCCTGACACAGAAGTTTTCTTATACACAACTCTAACTGCTGAAGTAAATGTTTGTCCGTGGGAACCTTCAGGGTAGATTTCACTTTTGGCAACAAATAGCAAAGCTTCATTCTGTAAGAAAAGGAATTCATATTTAACTTCTAATGCAGATAGTGAGCAAATACTTGGTTCCATTGTTTAATAAAAGCAGTAGCCAATTTGACTCCACTTCATATCTGCTTTTATTTTCGAGCCTAACTCTAAACTTGATTTTTATGAAGTCCTTTGACTAGGTAAGAATGAAAAGCAAAGCTGAAGAATGTGAAAAGCAACACTTAAAATGTAAGTTATTTCCAGTCCCAGGGTAAAATTTTCAAAGGCACCTAAGTGACTTCAGAGCCGGAGTCCTATTTTCAAAAAAGGGACTTAGGGACAGATTTTTAAAAGTATTTAGGCACCTAAAGGTCTAGATAGGTGCCTGGTGGGATTCTCAAAAGCATGCAGGTGCTGCACTCCCTTAAGTGTCTGGTTCTTTGGCATCTTGGAGCCTGAGTCTCATTGAAATTCCATGAGATTTAGACTCTTAAGTGCCTAAGTCCCTTTTGAAAATAGGACTTTAGACACTTTTCTAAATGTTACTCTTGGACTCTGGTCTTCCAGGCTACTGCAGGAGAGGAAGTGCTCTATATTGTGACACTGCTAGATGATTTAGTCTAAACAAACTCTCCCTGACCTGAAGATGAATGATCACATGAAAGGGCTACCGGGTGGAGGTAAGGCTGAAGGGGAGGAGACCCTCTAAAGAATTCAGGGTAAATCTGGATGGGATAATGAAATGTGGCTGCACTTCTGACTCCTAGCAGTTTTGCAGGTGCTCACATTGAAATGATAAAGTTGTCACTGCCTGATACAATATCACTGAACATTCAAAATTCTATAAAGTATTTAATAGGCTTTCCAGTACTGTTCTCCATAATGGCTGACTATACTGCATGAAACTGTTAATATCTTTCTAAAATAACTCAATTTTACACAGTAGAAAATGCCTGCAGAGACTCTTTAAAAAAAGAGTTTTATTGTAATGGAATCATATACACAAAGCTGTACCTTGTCAGCTATGAAACTAAATTTTTGAGGCCATTTTCTCAAAACAGCAAATTTAACATTTTTCAGTTTTCTTCAATGATTCTCTGATTTCATAATATAAATTCAGTTTGATTAAAGAAATAAATATAAATACAGGAAGCAAAATGTCCTTATTTTCAAACAGATCTTCAGATATAGAAAACGAATATATTTACAACCCTGAAATCATTTTCTATAATGCCATCAGTACAAAAATAGTATACTATATTATTACAAAATGTGGAATCTGAAACACTGTGTACGTACTGAAATATAAGAGTAGAAATATAAAAAATGCTGTATCGGATCTGGTCAATGGGCAATTGGAATGGCCAGTGCCAGATGTTTGAGAGAAAGTTAAAATAACCCCCAAAAAGAAAATTATGGAATAAGATGTCCACAGAGGAAGTTTTTACTTAACCCCACCAGTTAGTAGCTGATTTATGCCAGGATATATGAGGTTTTAAATCACTGTTTATTTTTAGCATACTGATACAACTGTGGATGCTCTCAATATCCATATTCACTTTTATGAATCCTGCTAAGCTTTTGGCCATGCTGATAACTTGTGACAATGGCTACTGATGCATTCTGTAAAATGCATTTCCTTTTTATCAGTGGTAAATTTGTTGCATTTTAATTCCACTGAATATCCCTTTGTTCTTGTATTAGTGGTAAGAGTAAACAGAAGATCCACTACCTTCACTATACCATTCTCGTGCAAAAACTATATTGAAAGAATATTAAGGTTGCAAAGTGAAATACTCTAAAGTTTGGACATGACAAAGATAAGGCTGTTTGTGCAACCTTAACTGTGCCCTCTTTTGCACATACATTCGGAGTTAGTATTTTTTCAAATGAGTTAGTGTTGTTACATGATCACCATTTCTCAAATATACAATATAATATCAGAATAATACAATTTTTACACAACCCTAGGTACACATGTGTAGAACTTTATACATAATGTAAAAAAAATAATATTCCCAACATTCAAAGAGAAATTATTTCACATTTAATATTTAGGTTTTATTTTTATATTCCAATGGATTACAGAATGTGTCTCTTTTTTTAAAAAAAAAGTTGTATTTGTCATCAATAAATTTTATCTGCCATTCTGCTGACTTAACTTTGTTAAGTCCTTCTGAGGTTCCTCACAGTCTTCTCGTCTTGATTAACGTACATAACTTTGTGACTGACACAAATTTCACTACTGCACTGTTCAGTTCGCTTCCAGATCATTAACAAATGTATTAAACAATAAAGATCCATGCACAGAACCTGCAGGCACCCCACAGTGAATCTTTTATGTTGAAAACTGATAATTTATTCCTATTTTTTTCTGTCCTAGACATTTTCTATTTAAGTCAGTACTTTAGCCTTCATATTGTGCCAACTGAGGGCTGATCAAAAGTTCAATTAATTCAATGGGAGAGACTCCCATTCGTTTTAATGGGTCTTGAATCAGGCATCTAATTTTTTTAATAGACCTATAAAGGTCTTTGTAAAAGTACAAATAAGTGATATCATATGGTCCTCCTCTAACCACTATTATGTTGACATGCTGTAGTAGATTAATAGGCAAGATTTAACTTTATAAAAACCATGCTTTTGTGTCCTATCATACCATGTTCTTCTGGATGTTTTATAATCTTCTAAACTATCATAGAAAATCTTAGCCCTGTTACTCAACTTATTTAAAGAAGCCATTTAATATTATATTAACATACACCATGAAACTAATAGGGTTGTTTTTTTCCATATAAGATTTCATACAATTGGTACAATACCTCACATTTGCTACTGGATCATGGGTAAGCTCAAGCACAGGTAGAAAGAAGTATTTACAGAAGAATGATTTGGAAAACAGTTCCATAATGAATTCACAGGTGTCTAAAAAACGAAGTCTGTTCCAGTAACTTTTTCCTTGGCCCAGCTCTGGAAAATAAAATCCCAAAAAGGTTATCTGTAAAGTTTTCAGAATGAAATAGCTCATGTCTCAAAGATTAGCCTGAGATTGAAAGTGATTTTAAGGATTGTGATGGGGCCAATAAACTTGTCACAAACCCCAGCATGTCAGCCTATCTCAAATTCACTCTCTGGTTGAAATCCTGTCCCCACTGAAGACAGTGCAGTTTTGCCACTGATTTCAATGGGGGCCAGAATTTCATCCTCTGTGTTTGATTAGCCCACTGAAACATCAGAACTACCAAGTGACACAGCTGGTTCATGGAACAGAAACTCGTGCATTTCATACCATATATCAGGTGCATGAATCTAGAGCTGTGTAAACACTAAGGATCATTAATGAGGGCTTTTCACCCTTCTATGCAATTTTTGAGGAACTACAGTACAGATCAGTAGGTCAAACTTGTCAGCTGCTTTTAAATTATTTAAATCCTCTATATATTATTCATTTTTCAGAAAACTTATCATTCAGCACTTTTTAAAATGCAGCCTCTAGTGTTCTATTTTCTAAGAACAACTGTGCTTTGTATAATACAGCACCTTGAGCTAAAAATATTGAATTCCAGCAGTGTGGTTTACAGGATCTTTCAGCAAATTGTAGATTTCCTGCATAGACTCTTCCTGCTGAGTACTTTGCATAGCTGTGGTACATATTCACACGTGTTATCTGATGACACTGTGGGCCAAACTGGTGGTCCCGTATGTCTTCTGAATATTGTTTCTTCATTGATTATATGGTTACAGAGTACAACCCTAAGCACCATCTCCTTTTCGTTTACCAGAATTAATTTGCTTCTCATAAAGTAATCAAGAAAAAATTACTGCTTACGTTCAATCAATTTCTGAATGACTTCATGCCTCTGTTCTTGTTTGCGATTATAGCGTAAATAAACACAGAGAGTTCGAGCAGCTGCTTTTTGGACAGGGAGAACATTCTTAAAAGAAACAGGAAATACAGTTAAAACATCTAAAGGCATGTATAGGTACTTCTGGACACTATCAACTACAACAGAAAAATAGACAACAACTCATCAGGTTCCTTCTGAAAGTGTGATATTTTGGCATGTGGCTTTATTTTCCTTTTTTTCCCCTTGCAATATATTCTACATTATTTTTTCATTCTAAGGTTAACAGATATTACACTTCAAGTTAAAATGCTTTTTAATATCTACTCAGATAAAGTATTTTTACAAATACACTCCATTAATATCTAATTAGACCTCTTCTTTAATTCAAACAATTGTCACTTTCCAGGCTGATAACAGCCAAACAATAATTTATAGGCACAACTGGTTGAAAAAATTTGGTTCCATAAAATTTAGGAACAAATTCAGATGTTTAAAAAGGTCTGAATGTTTAACATTGAACCTGTATTGTGCTCTAGGCGCATGTAGAACATAACTTACTGTATACTGCATTTTAATTTCAGTTTTTGTGGGTCTGCATGGCTCCTGATGTGCGTAGTATTTACAGACCTATAATTTTGACCCATGATTAAGGCTAAGATTTTGTCATGGTTATTTTTAATAAAAGTCACGGACTGGTCACGGGCAATAAACCAAAATTCACGGAAGCCGTGACCTGTCTGTGACTTTTGCTGCTGCAGCTCCATTGTTTCCCCTGCCACAGTGATAGCTGGGAGCTGTGGGGATCCCCTCCACTTGCAGCAGCTGGAAGCTTCAGGGTGGGGGGTCCTCTGCCTAGGGCGGCTAGGAGCTGCAGGGTGACCATATTTCCCAAAGAGAAAATGGGATACCTTCAGCCACTTGCCCGAGGCATCCCCCACCCCCCACACGAGGCTGTCACCCGTTACTGGAACCCTGAGGAGGGCCCCCTCAGGAGTCTGTCACCTGTACTGGAACCTTGCAGGCCACCCCCCCAGTCACCTGTTGCCACTGTCAGCCCGTCACTGGAACCCTGTCAAAACCCCACTGGTTGCCAGCTCCAGAGTGCAGCAGCCCCTGGGACTGAAGCTGAGAATGTCATGGAGATCTCTGGAAGTCAGGGATTCCGTGACTTCCATGACCTCTGTGACATAAACGTAGCCTTATCCATGATCCAACAAAGCACTTAAGCATGTGTTTAATTCTATCCTTATTCAAGTAAAGCACTTAGGCACATGCTTAACTTTAAGACACACAAAAAAGAGTCCTGAAAAGCGATAGCTTTCTGCAGAAAAATTTGATTTTTTTTTTTGTTAAAAAAAATTCTTAAAACCAAAACATTTTCAACCAAAACCCAAAATATCTGGATTCGGATTTGCTACTGCAATACCTCATGGGAGATGTAGTTCAGTTGCCTCATGTCCTCATTCTCCTTTTGGGGCTGAGTTCCCCAGCCGGACTTCATATCCCATGATACAACATGGCTGTGGGACTCCCATAATGTACTGCCTCCTCTCACCCAGAGGGAAGACAATGGTGCATAATAGGATATGTAGTCCGACCAAGGAGCCTGGACAGGAGAGGAGACTGGGAGCATGAAGCAACTGAACTACAGCTCTCATGAAGCAGCACAGTAGCATACCAAATTGAAATATTTTGGTTGTTGGGTGAAAACTAAAAATGTTTTGCTTTTCTGGCATTCATTTTCCGACAACCAATGTTTATGGGTCAGCTTTTTATATAGTTACCAAATATTCACAATGAAGTAGGTCATGGCACTGCAAAAAGTTTACCATTCATATTTTATTCATATGTCCCAGTGTGCGAAAATAATAAAGAGCTCCCACATCCATTTCTTTTTAAAATATATTAGTTTTAACTAAAATCATTTAACTGTCATGCACATTTTGTCTCCTATTATTGCTAGTAAGCAATATGAGGCCTGATTTACCATTGCATTACTCCACAGAAATCACTGGCATATCACTGATCTAAAACTGGAGTAATGCAATGGTGAATTGGGCCCATCAACTTTGACCTTTTTTTATATAGTTTACCCACTTTCTCTACTCTCTTCATCCTTTTTTTGTGTGTGTTTAAGCTCCTTGGTATAGGGACTGCACTTTCTACTGTTTTTGGAAATCACTTAGCACACTACTAGTGCTACCAAAAATAAACAACAACTGCTGCTCTTTTATAGTACTCTTCCTCCTTGAATTTAATTTAACAAAGCCCCAGTCCAGTCTTTCTAAAGCACAATTTACTCCATGGAATTAAATGTCACATAAGAAAGAGTGTAATATAAAGTAAGCTAAGGGATCAAGCAAAAGATTCATTTTTCAGACGAAAAAATTTTGATTTACACAAAAACTTATTGAGAATCAGCAATGGCATTGGAAGGGAAATCCAGAAAAGAATACATGGCAATTTCATGAAATGTTAATTAAGTCCAACTTTTCCTATGAAAGGTGTGTTTTTGTTCTTTGAGCATCTTCTTAGTCTTATGTGATAAAACCAGTGAACAACCTAACTTTGTTCTATAGAAGATAATATAATAAATACTAAGTTTAAATAAAATAAATAGTACATAAAGGTATTATTTATATTGCATTAGTCAGTCTAAAGCATCAGAAACAAATATGAAAACAATAGAAGAGAGATAGAGAGAGCTTGGGGCTCACATTTGTCATAATGATTGTCAACATTCTGTGCAAAAAACGATAATAAATCTGATCACTTGATATGATATGAGGCAGGCATGCATATTTTTGTAGTAACTTCTCATGAGTTCTCCATTTTAAAGAAGTTGCTGCTCTCTGTTCCGCAGTCGTTAGTGCTGGAATCAAGTCAGGGACAGTCAATAACTAAAAATATAAAATAAAAACATTAAAAATTTAAAATCTCAATTTGTTATGACACAGTATTAATTGAAGCCTAAAAATTATGTTAATTTAGAAATCTACAAGACTGATTTGTTTCTATTTTAAGATGATAGCCTGTGTTTTTGCATATGCAAAATCCATTTATCCAGTCATGTTTTTATATGGCCCCCCAGCAATGGACAAACTACATTAATAAATTTGTACTCACAGCATGCCCGTGAGGTAAGGTAGTATCATCCCCATTTTACAGATGGGAAAACTGAGGCATTTGCCCATGATCACAGAGAAAGTATGTAGCAGAGCTGGGAGTAGAACCCAGGTCTCCCAAGTACTTGTTCAGTACCCTAATCACAAGGCCATCATTCCTCCTAAAAGGATTAACTGTCTGAAAGGGCAATTCTACATAAAGTTACCCAGATGTGCATACAAATCACTATTAGACATATGCAACTACAGTACTTTGACTATGAAACCACAAAGATGCAATTGCACAACTTAGATGCAACTTAGCAACTATGTTTGAAAATTTGATCCCTTTTGGAAACTTTGTGGTTATTTATTCAGAAAGAAAGTATGTGTAAACTGAAAATTTTTGCATTGTACAGAAGGGCCTTATATCTATATAATTATCTCTCCCTCTTGATATGTATATAAATAAACAAACAAATACAAATGTCAGTTTGCAGTTTTATCAGCATCAGGATCTGGTCCCATAGTCCTTCTGAAAACAGACTCTCAGTGATTTCAATGAGCATTACATATGTGAAACAACTTCAGTACTAACCTCCTTCATGTTTAGAACTAAACTACAAAACACAGGTTGCTTACCTTGCTTTCTGATCCACTGTTTTCTCCTCCAGTAGTCATAAGTTCAAGAATTTCAGGAAGGTGACTTATCAGTGCATCTAATACCTATTTAAAGAAATGTTGGATTAATCATGTTTGTAAATTTACTTGGCCTGATTCTTCTCTTACACAAGTTTGACACTGGTAAGTCCCTCCTGACTTCAGTGGTATTACTACTCTTTTACACCAACATAAATGAAAGGAGAATCAGGTCCCATTCTTTGTTCTGATGATGTTACTAAGATCATACCCATAATACAGTCAGATCTTTTAAACCAAAGTATTCACAATATAAAATATTAAAATGTAACTATCTTTCTATGTACCTCAGCAGTTTCGTAAGACAGTTTAGTAAGAACTTTATCAGATATGAAAGCAAATAAATATATTTTGGACAATTTTTGCCAGACAAAACTTAAAACTCTTTTTTTATCCAGCTTTAGCAAAACTGCACTTGATAGAGTAAAATATAATACACTGGAAATGCAGAATAACATGCCATTGAAAGCTTGGGGCATTTAAAACTAGACTAGAAATAACACTATTAAACACACTGTAGGGACAACTCCTAAATTGATGACTGATGGTTTTAGATCCTCAATTTTTGAGTGCCCAACTTAAGACATCTTAAAGGGGCCTAATTTTCAGAAGTGCTGAGAACCTGCTTTATGAAAATCAGGCCCTTTTAAGGTGTCTCAAGCTGGGCACCCAAAATCCATATTCATTTTTCAATATCTTGGCCAATGGCCCTATACAAAATAAAGTGGTCCAGATATTGGAATAATTCCACTGAATTCAAAAGGAGTAGTCACATGCTAAAGATGAGAGTTGAAATTCCTTCAATATTTTACTGCATTGGGACTGAATTGCTTTTTTCTTATTTAATCATTTGGCCATTTCAATGGAGAACCAAAAATCTCACAACATCTTTGCAAGATGATTAAGTATTTTACACATGGCAAAACTGAGGCACATGAAATTTAGGTAAGTAGCCCAAGGTTACACAGAGTCTGTGCCAGACCCTGGACAAAAATCTAGGTCTCCTTTCTATAAGTCCTGTCCCTTAATCACAACACTATCATACCTTCCGTTCAGTCAGAGAAAGAAAAATAACCCAAAAACTTGAAACCTCGCCATAATCTATGTATCCTGAAAATTAATCGATTTACATGTAATTTTATAAATTAATCAATCTAGATAAATTACAGGGGCAGTGGAATCTGGGTTGGGGGGGCTAGCGCCCCTGCAACAGAAATATTATTGTGATCTATGTTTCTGACCCTGCATATCCTTCTTAAGCAAGTTGTTTTGTGAGCTCAAGCCAGGCAGGGCTCCAGGAGTGCAGAGGGCAGAGGCAAGAGCGAGACCCAGAGGGGCTCAAGCGGCTGCTGCAGTGCCAAGGATTGGTCTGGGGCGCAGGTAGGAAACCAGGTGATTAGACTGGGATCAGCCACCTCTGGTGCAAGCCATTGGGCCCCCACTTCCCAGCCCGGAGCAGGCTGTTCCACTCCAGCAAAGTCCCCATAGCTCTTCTCACTCCCCAGGGAGCACACTCACCCCACTCCCACTCCTTCCTTGACGGTCTAACTATTCCCCACTCTCCATGCAGAGCATCTATCCTGATACCCCAACTTCGCCCCCCTCCCTATACAGAGTACCCACCTGGACTTCCTCTGACACTCCAACTTCCTCCTGCTCCTTGATTCTCCCCATTCTCCATGCTTAGTATGCTTAGATTTCTGTATGTACCTGTATGTATGTATCCATTCAAAGAGAGCTTCTGCCACCTCTGATAAATTATACCATGTTCAACCAAATTTTGAATATGATAAAAACAGGGGAGGGTTATTGACTTGAAATATCCCCCTATTTTTTCCCCTTTTATTTTCCAACAGTCATCACCTTCAAAGGCACCAAGATAAATCTGAGTCTAAAATGACTCCTTGAATCTTTATAGAATATGTGAACCAAAAGTAAAGCTTTTCACTTCAAACATTCATTATATTGGTTTATTGTATTGTTGGTAAGCATTATTAATGTAACCAACAAATAAAAAAGAGCAAATAATATATTACCTCCAATGAATCATCCTGTAGTAGTGTTACCAGTTCTTTATGTATTACATACACACCCGAATCTAAAAGCTTAGCAACCTAAAAAATGACAGTAAGACAAACAAACAACAACACACTTTAGTTTCATGGAAATACAACAGTTCAAATAGCTGCATTTACTTTTCAGTACGGTTTGACTAGAAATATGAAAGTGGGGATGCTGAACAAATCTCTAACATCCACAAATTGCACTTTAAAATTGCTGAGGTTATGTACTTTCCTGCCATTAGCATATAACATTGCTTTTATAACAGCATGCAAAATGAACACCAGGGCTGTTGCATAACTATTAAACATGCCATTGAGACTGGGTTAACAAGAGCTTCCTTTTCTAATGTTTATATTCCAAAGGTGGTTTTGTTGTTGTTGTTGTTGTTTTTGTTTTTTTTAAAGGTGGCCTGCAAATACTTAGAGAAACATTCCGGGCTTTTAAAACAGCCTGCTGCATGCTCCAGTAACAGAGGTAACAGAGTCAGACAGCGGAATTGAAGAAATAAAGGTTGGTTTGGCATCAGCTATGGGCCTTAAGCCTCCCTAATCTTTGCTATTTGAGGTTCTCACTTCATAAACTCCAAGGCTGCTGGCACTTTTGATTAGCATTCACAAGTCACATTTAAAGTTCTGCAATAAGCCTGATGTCAATGTTAAAACAATCAATAACAACATATGGCAACAAATAAGAGAAAAGTGTCAAGAAATTGGACTTCTCAGCCATGTGGGGTAAATCATAGCTTCCTTTGGAGGTAATACTTGATACTCTTTAATCATTTTCTTTGTTTCACTTAGCTCATGCTAACAATCTTTTTACCCCCAGCTAAGAGGAAGGATATAATTTATTTTAGGAAATGGCTACAGAGCATATTAAATCAAAAATATATCCAACTAGAGGTAAGCATCATAAATTACTGATATCTGTGTGACATTTGGCTGACTAATTACACTGATGACATGATAATAACACATTAACATACCCTAACTGTGCACAGCATTTCAAGTGTAATCTCACGAGTCCTTTTTACAGGGCTAAAATAATCTTTTTATTTATTCAAATATCATTTTAAAGGTGTCTGGGGGTAGACACAAGAAGTACAGGATTTTGCAGAATTATATGCTAGTTATACAATTTCGACTACTAGCTTCAATTATCTCCTTCTACGGCAATGTTGTGTAGAGGTTAAAGCAGGGAGTCAAGACACACTGGTCTTATTTCTAACTCTACTAGAAATTCACCGTAACACCTTCAACAAACTGTTTAATCTCTCAGCCTCATTCTCCGCAGTTTATAAATTGGGGATAATAAGAGTGAGCCCTGAGTTGTTCTGAGGCTTACAGTAAAGCTCTGCAATCCTTGGATGAAAGTCACCATCTGAAGAGTATGGATTATTATTAAATTGAGGAAGGGGATTTTACATTCATTTGTGCAATTCATTCCATTTAAAAATCATTAATACCTACAAAACCACGCCATCTAATATATTTAATAAAACAATACAGTGCAGCTTATACAAAACCAAGCAGTTAATTATAATATACATACTTGTTACATTTCTATAACTTTCTAACTGTTAATATTAAAATTCAGTCAATGTTTTGCTTAGACCTGGTGCTTACAATGTCTTCCACACACTGTCAACTAAGCCCCAAATCCTACAGTCCTAGAGGATTGCAGAATCAGATCAAATGCAGCATATTCCTTTCTCGCTTTCTCTCACTCATGTCTCCCTCACATACCATCCTTCTCACTTTTTTTAAAATCTACTCTCTCCCCACTGGTTTGGGATGTGTGTGTGGGGGGGAGAGGGGAAGGAGAAGAATTCTTTCCCTTAATTCCACTTATTTCTCCCAATTCCTGTCCTCTGGCCCTTTGTCTCCAAAATTTTGGATCATACTGTTTATTTACACTACTTAAATTTCCTGTCCTGGAGTCTTTCCTATCTGCTGTCCTCCTAATCCACCACACCAAAACTTCCCTCACCAAAATCAATGACAACCTCCTTCTAGTTAAATTTCCAGTCCCTTAAAACATATTTAAAAGGTGTGTAGTGGATAATTATATATCAGAAGACTTTCAATAAATTGAAGAATTTTAGCAAATTTTCCAAAGCTTTCTCACTGAGGCACTCCGTAGTTAAAATATAACAAATGTCAATTTAAGCAGACAAGTATCAAAACCACATACAATATTAAAAAGCCCACAAAAAAAAAATCTGAAGTACTAACAAAAAAACTTTCTGGACTTACTTCATATAAGCCAATAGCCATAGTGTATCTGACTGGCACTTCAGGGTCATGACAAAGACAGAAAAATGTAGAGTATAGTTCCAAATGGAAGTTTTTCGGATCCACAAAAACAATCATGGCCTGTGGACAAATAAGATGGCGTCTTTAATCCAAATGTACACATATAGGGCCAAAATGTTTGGGATTCCAGCTACTGGACGGATCACCTCTTCCTCTGTGTGATACCACTGCTGCTGTAATCAGCAGGACATTTGAGCTAATACACACTGATTTAAAAATGGGGGGGCTGCTGATAGGACATTTTCTGTGACTGGTCCTCAACTCTGGAACTCTCTCCTACCCCCATGGTCTGATACAATTTGGATCAGCTAACTTCTGGACATGCTGCAAGGCTTCTTCCGAAGAGATAGATTGAGAAATACAGGATAGTTTGCACAGGAACCTATTATTTCATGATGAGTTAACTAACGGGCAATCTATATTCTGAGCGATTGGGTCAGTTCCAGGAGGACAGGAAAAAGTCTTGGTATTGTGAATATGGATCCTTTAGTTTTACATATTTTAAATTATTCTCTAAACAACTAAAACCTTCAATTGGAGCTTTTAAAAACAAATAAATAAATTACATGTTTAGCCAGCAACAAAGCCAATCTCTGAAATTTTGGCTACCATTGTGTATGCACAAAACATGTATTTGCTCAAGTAAACCAGTAGATATCTAATTATGTACTTTGTGCACATTTTAAGCCAACTTAAAAAAATGTGGCTGATAAGGTTGACTACAAAGAAATGTAGAAATCCTTTAAATATAAAGGATACCTGTAAACATTCAAAATAGAAGGCAGATTAATAGAAACAATAGTTTTAGGCATAAAAGCCTCATTTCTATATATGTGAAAAGACCTTTTATTTAGCAAATACATGAGGGTACATGAGTTAGACGCATATTTAGCTCATTCAGAGCTAAATCCTGTGCCCCTTGGAAAGCCAGTTGTGCAGAATGGGTGGGGAGGTCCCAGCTATGGAGAGCTTACAAAACAGCTGTTCTTTCAATGCCATTGTACAAGAGGCTTTGAGGGAACAGTGTATGTGAGAGATCTTTGATGACAGGAATGTCTTGGTCAAAACTCACCACTGGTTTTCTGTGATTTGGGGATGAAAATAAGTCACAGAATCTATGACTTCCATTGACCCCTGTGATATTTTCAGCCCCAGGGCTGGAGCTCCCAGCCAGCCTCCTGCTCCCCCCTCCCCCTGTAGCTCCCAGTCGTCGTCGTCCCCCACCCCCGGTGACAGGACCCTGCAGCTCCTGGCTGCAGTGGGTGGACCCTGCAGCTCCCAGCCACAGTGGGCAGTGGGGACCCCTCAGAACTCCCAGCCGCAGCAGGGGGTGAGGAGACCCCACAGCAGCTCAGCTCCCATGGGCGACAGGAGACCCCAGAGCTCCCACTCACCGCAGGTGGCAGGGATCCCCCCAGAGCTTCCTGCCACTGCAGGCAGCAGGGGCCCCCCAGAGCTGCTCAGCTGCTGTGTGGGGGGACCCCAGAGCTCCCATTCACTGCAGTGGCAGGGGACCCCAACGCCTAGAAGCGATGGGTGCTGAACTCACCTCTCTCTCTCTTTTGTCAGGGATATTTTTAATGAAAGTCCGCCACAGGTCATGGGCTTCCATGAATTTTTGCTTATTGCCCATGACCTGTCCATGGCTTTTACTAAAAATATCTGTGACAAGAACTTAGCTTTACTCAAAGCCTTCTTGGAGAATCCCTGCACTAAGTCAATTTAATTTTGCTTTGCACAGGAGTTCGGATTTGGTTCACAATATACTATATGGTAACAGATTTTACATCTTACATCTATTCCTGTTTTGTGGCTAATATGCACAATGTAAGTTTTATAAAATAGTAGTTAACTTACTGGAAAGTTGTAAGCACAGTTCTTCCTTACTGATATATACTTCTTTTCTTGCTCTAGGGTTTGAAGTTGTATCTGATTATCATTGTGTCCATTTTCCTGCTGTAAGCCCAGTGTGCAAAGTTTCTTGTAAAATTCCAAAAATCTCAAGTGTTGCTCTGGAGTAAAAATTCCTTTAAAAATACAACACTAATGCTTAAGTTTTTTGTTACAGAATATCAGGGAAAAAGCTAACAATATCCAACAACTTGAGTTTATTTCCAGAGCAATCAAATAAACCATTTCCCCTATTCATTCTCATATAATGACTCCAATAGGAACCATTTCCTTATTGCAAGTGGTAGGGAGAAATAGTGATTACAGAAAAATTAAACCTACCCCTAGAAGAAGGAATCTTCACTTCTGTATTTTAGAAATATATAATTTTTAGAATATTAAGGGTTTCATTTAGGAGGATTGCGAATATATTTTAAAAGTGGTAGGGTCACGTTTATTCCCCTTCTTGCCTCCAAATCCTTGAACACCACCACCATTCTCAGTGAGCTCAGACAAAGCCCTCTGCACAAATTAAGCCTTTGGGACCTTAAGGGTTTAAGTAGCATGGAGGGGTTTATCTGGGCCACCTGTAGTACAGTGAATTTCACCTTACACTTAAAGGATCAATGGGCTGGATTTTGATCTCTATCCAGCCCCTATCCAGTTTATAGGTGTATAGGGACCATAAAGTTAGAGGAGAAATCCCATGATACAGGACCAGTTTAGAGCTAACCTAAGTGGCCCTACACTGCCGTAGCCTCATAGGTCTCAGTGCAGGACACATGCTGGTGGTGCAAGGGGAGCATCTGTACAGCTCACTGCTTTGAGGATTCTGAGCTGCAGATTCAGCCCCGAGAGTAGCCAGGAATCCAAGTGGTGCAAAAGTGGCATAAAGCCTCCTTTGCTCCCATTTCTTCCTGGGCTAACCCTTTGTACTGTGTCTGAGGAGACATAGCACAGCATCTAGCACCTTATTACTAATATCATGCCCTATTTTCAAAGGTTTATAGTTTAACCACAACTAACACACTCACTTCAAGATGAAATCTGCAACAAAACTAGGCATCAAAACAAAACAACGAAAGTAGAGAAAATATTAAAAAGAAAAAAGACAATCCAATCTTTATGTTACAGATGGTTTCAGAGGGTTTTTGTACTCTGAATTATCATTCCACTTGATAAATGTTGGCTATCTGGACATTTTCTAATCTGTATACTTCACAATACATTGAGTCACTCAATTTAAAAGAATCATTAAATCATACCATATAGTCCATTACATAGTTTCCCTAAATGGAAAGACAAAGAAACAAGAATTGATTCATCCACTTTGAAGGATTTTTCACAGAATGATTTCACTAAAGGGAGAACAGTTTGACTTCTGTCATCTGAAAAACAAAACAAATGTGTAAAGTTAGTTGTTCATGTTCAATCACTTGAAGAAGAGCATATGTCCCTTTTATGATAAAAATGTCAAGGTCCTTTAAAGTGCAGCTGGGATTCTTGTTTAGCTGACACCCACATTTTAATTAAGTAAGAGTATGAGTAAAATCTATTTATTTTAATGTAGAAGCTTTTGAGGCCTCTATGGGTCACTCCCCCTTTTCTAGGGAAGGTCCCTCATTTGTACAGGATGGGACAACAAAAGCTCTCCAAGCACAGGCTCTGACCTGCAGTGTGTGGGTAAGTGAAGAAGCACACCCATCTTCGCCTCCACCAACACACCTAGTAGCCAAGAGATAGAGGGAGAAGATATATGGTGAGCAAGAGGATAAAGGGAGAGCTTGTCAAGGTGGGACAGGGCGAGTTCTGCTACCTTGGATCTCAAGGTCAGCTAGAAATGAAGCTTTTCAACCTACTGAGCTCCCTCCTATTCATCTGCAGGGCTGTGCATAACCTCTGACCACTCTTTAACCCCTTTCCAACAGCCAAAGCAGCTGTTGCAGCAATAGTAAGTAAAAAACTTCATCAGAAGTGTGAAATTGATAGTCTCAACAGTTTGAAAATAAATCTACTACTGTATCCAATGGTACAAATCATAGACTCATAGAAGATTAGGGTTGGAAGAGACCTCAGGAGGTCATCTAGTCCAATCCCCTGCTCAAAGCAGGACCAACACCAACTAAATCATCCCAGCCAGAGCTTTGTCAAGCTGGGCCTTGAAAACCTCTAAGGATGGAGATTCCACCACCTCCTTAGGTAACCCGTTCCAACAAATGCTATCTGTTAAACAATCCAATTGCATTCATTGGTATTCTCCCCAAACTATCTGCTTTTCATTATGTAGCTTTCCACATGGTTTATATGTTGATTATTTTGATAATTCGTGATCAACTCCTTGTTAAGTAAATATTTGCTCCTCTCTTATGTACCAGGAAGGTGCAGTAAAGTCAGAAAAACAGGAGTGGGAGTGGGAGCTGTTGTGCAAAATACGGGGCTGCTAATGAAGATAAACAATTGAACAGCTCTGAAGAAAAAAAGAATATTACTATATACAGTACTAACTGGTAAATAATGAACAGTGACTATAACAACTGCTGCATCACACAGACATATTAGGATACTTTTGCATACTCTCTGTGGGCCAGGTTTCTGGCCCACTTTGATCTTTTGTACCTCTCTGATGGTGAAAAAGCAGTGGAGATTATCTGCAAATGTAGAGCCAGTATAGCTGGCTCCTATTGCTTTCCTTAACCCCAGCAATCTTCAGTATAGGGAACATGGCTGAAAACAGTGCACTTCAATTAACCAAGATGCTCCCATGGAGACAATTGTTGCTGGCTAGAATACGTGCAATTCAAGCCTCTCCAGCTTCTGCTGAGGCAAAGCTGGGAAGAGAATGATGGATGCATAACTGGGCCCCCACACTGAGCCAAATGAACTTAACAAAGAATCTGGCTCTACTTTCCTAAAGATACAAGATCACATACCCATACATTGTGAGAAAGAATATTGCATTTAAAATATCATTTCAATATTCTTTTCAACAAGTCTTTTCCTGAAAAGCTGAAACATGAACACTGTGACACTCTGTGCCTCAAAGAGACACTCTGCACCCCATATTCTTCATTGGTGATATAATCATCATATGTTCTGTACAAAGTATGCCTTGTGAGGTATCATTTTAAAAGTCTTAATTTGTTGAACATTAATATCCTGTTAAGTTGTACGTGCTATCATTGTATATGAAGTTTCGCTACGTATGTGCCACTGAAACATGTGAGGTTGGGAACACCCACAAGCAGCCTTTCAGGTACAACCATAAAATGCCAATCAATGTTGATGGCCCATGGAGAAGAATACAAACACTCACAAGGATTACCCCAGGAACTGTGAACAATGGAAATCTCTCAGAGATAGCACTACACAATGGGAACTGTTTGACTCAGATCACAGCAAAAGATCTTTCCAGCAAGATGGAAGAAGCTATAAAAAGGAGAACTGACATGACCGCTGGGCCTCACTGCCCATACAACACAACACCTGGAAATACCTAAGGAACAGAGACTGAACTGGGGGAGAAGGGTCCCAGGCAGGAAAGAAGGAAGCCTGCCTGTGTACGGAAGCTTGGTGGACTATTTGTACTGTCTAACAGGGTGAGACACTGCTTGATTCAAATCCTGTCCAGTTTAGAGAACTCAGATTGTGTTTTTGATTTATTTCTTACGGTAATCTACTTTGATCTGTTTGCTATTGCTTATAAATCACTTAAAATCTATCTTTCTGTAGTTAATAAATCTGTTTTATATTTTACCTAAAACAGTGTGGTTTGCTTGAAGTGCGTAGGGAATCTGCTCAGGAACAGGGGCTGGAGCATTGTCCTCTTCACATCGAGGAAGGGGCAAACTGGGTAATATATTTATACTGGTCAGGCTTTTGACCAGAGCAAGACAGTACAGCTCTGGGGTCCTAGGCTGGGGAGTTGTGAAGAATTGGCTGCAGCCTCTCTATTGTTGTTTCATGCAGCGAATGGCCAAAGCCTTCATGTAGCTGCAGCTGGGTGTTTCCCTGCCTGTGTGAGTGTCTGTGTGAGTAGAAGTCCTGGAGGGGATTGTAGCTTGTCACAGCATCACGGAGTTAGAGGAAGCCAGGCTGGTGAGACAGAGGGCTCAGTACCCCAGTTACAGGTTGCACCACAGGGGGAAACCCATCACAAACACATGCTAAAGAGCCATACAAAACACCTGCATTAATTCTGTAATCAGAAGAAAAAGATTTTCACGGTGCCAAGCACCTACAGATCTAAGTGATGTCAACAGGCGCTGCTGATCCTCAACACTTAAAATCAATGCCAGTGTATACAGTGCTGTGTATCTATATCGTGCTTTATAAAACACAGAACAAGACTGGGTATTGCTTCAATAATTTACTTAGTGTATCTGCCATACATGAGAATAAGATCATATGTCAAAAATTGCTATGCTCATTTTATTACTACAGATATAAATGGTGCATCCCTGGACCAACCTGGCTCCTTCATCCCAGACAGAATTCCACTAGCATAGGTGCTGGAACTAACAGTGCGGGGGGTGCTGCAGCACCCTCTATCTTGAAGTGATTTCCATTAAATACAGGGTTTACAGTTGGTTCAATGGCTCTCAGCACTCCCACTATAAAAATTGTTCCAGCACCCCTGTCCACCAGTCAAGGTCAGATTTCATTTTCATCAGACACTCTGTAGGAGTGCCATTAGCAGAGGCTGCCAAGACAATGGTGCTGACTCAGCATGTCCATCAGCCACTCTGGACACATCCTGCCTGCCAGGCAAGCACTGCCTACTTTTAGAGTGTACTGATTTGTTGCATGGTCCCTGACAGACAGAAGATTGCAAGTATTTGTGCCACTGCAATCCCCCCAGTCTTAATCAGACTTTCTGTCAGCACAGACCCTGGACTGAATCTAATCAATGGTCTCATTTTTTCTCACTGTTACATCAGTGCAAGCTTTAGAATGTACTTTGAGTAATGGAGAGGAAGCAGGGGAGAGAGAAAAAAATAAAATTCTAGAAACAAAATAGAGACTTTGATCCTCTTATTGCAATGGAAGTGTGGTAGTTAATTATCATTGCGGTTTTATTTTATGGGAATCACTTTTCTACAGGCAAGTACAGGCTGTAAGCATTTGAAAAAAAAAAGTGTCTGGTACTCCTGAGGGAGATGAAAGGCAAGATATTCCTAATGCCCCTCTACTCCCACACATACCTCACCCCATACCGACCTCCATTCTACCCCATCCACACACAGACCCCCGAATGTAATAACTCTCCACCGGCCCCCACTTATCCTGACAGCACACACACATCCCAGCAGACCTGACATACATCACTGCAGCCCCGAATACCTCAGCCTCATCAGCCACAACCCCCAACATTCCCCACTCACCCCAACTACATCAGCCCCCCAACATCTCTCACTCACCCCAACTCTTACCCCACCATCCCTCAACATCTCTCACTTGCCCCCAACCTCTCATCCCACAGCCCACCAACAATTCTCATCCCCAATCCTTCACCCACCACCCCAGGGACCTTCTTGGCCACTCACTGACACCCCACCATCCCATTCCTGTCCTGGACTAAGCTGGCTCCTCCTGATCCTGACTGCTCAACTCCACTTCCCACACTCACACAGCCACATGTAACCCACACACGCTGCTCAGGTTTGGTGCAACTGGGCCAAACTTCAGTGAAGGGCATTGTGACACAGACTGGAAAGGGTCACAGAGCTGCTCAAGTTTGGCTGGCTACTCCTCTGTCATGACAGAGGGGAAGCTATGCCATATTTAAGTGAGTGGCATTGCACTACTGCACTGTTAATTTTTTTTGCCCTGTTTGTCGGGATCCCTCCTCAAATGGAGGGTGCACATTGGTTAATCTGGGCCTGGCCACGAATCATCTTGCACAAATTGGGCTTGATAATCTTAAATTTTATACTTCCAGTTAGCCTTTGGCTGAAATTTGTAAGATCTGGAAAGGACCCTGGTCATGGCCAGAATAGAGCCAGAGTGTGGGAGAGCCAGCAAAGTCACTTAGCCAGCATAGCAGTGTTTTTAATTAAATAACAAGCATTCTAGAAAGTAAGTTCCCATAAGTATTATTCACCTAGCTGCTTTAATTACTGTAACTGAACGGGCATTATTGTGCCTTACATTTTACGTTAGGGAGTGCAATAGTTCATGTGGTTTCCAAATAGAGACTAGGATCTGTGGTTTGGCATAATAAAAGTTGTGGTTTTGTGTGAGAGGCAAAGATGGATCATAACTCATCTCTTTGTCCAACTGAAAGGCAACAACAACCCCAAAGGTTTTTGAATCCTATAAAGGAATGGTTACCACTCACCACACAAAAGGCCAGCTTCCTCCAAGACAATACCAACTCACTCCAGAAACT